TCAGGGCGGACACCCCGCACCAGTGCCAACGCGGGCTCATGCTGCCCCCCGCCCCCCGCAGTTTTCCGGCAGCTGAACACGGCCATCGCCGTGTCGCAGATGTCCTCGGGCCAGTGCCGCCTGGCCCCGCTCATCCAGGCCATCCAGGACTGCAGCCCGCTGTACCACTACACTGTCACGCTCATGTTCAAGCTGCACTCCTGTGAGTCCCCGCGCGGGCCCCTGCGGCCACCGGGGGAGGGGCGCGGGGGCCTGGGCACACTCAGCGTGAGGGCCGGGCCAGTAGTCTGGTGGGTGGGGAGCCGGCTCCCACATGGCTGGGATGTTCGAATCCCTGCCTTGGGGGTCTGAGATGCACACCAGGCTGGAGAGATGAAGAGGGACCGCGGTGTGACCACGCCCTCCCGGGAGGCGCCTTCTCCCTTTCCCTTTCTCTGCTGAGCGCATGCATCCCGTGGCAATGAACATCTTTACATAGCACTGACACACACTAACATAAAGCACATACTTGCACGAGGGGCCACTGCTGGCGGGAGGAGCAGCGGGGTTGTGCTTTCCTGAGTGCCCCCGGTCACGTCCCGTGCAGGTGACCAGGGCAGGAAAGCACACAGGGCTGCCTGGTGCGGGAAGGTCCCCAAAGTGTGGCCTGGCTCCCCTGTTCCAGACCACACTTTGGGGACCGCAGGCCCTAGGGACATGAGTTAGTTGACTTCAGCCCAGAGCAGAAAAGGATGGCTTTTACGGTGGCCTCGCCAGCCAGGTGCCCTTTCCTGCTATGGCTCAGAAAGTCGCGAACTGGACCCTCTCGCGGGGTCTCGGCTCCCCGCCCCCCAGGGCTGGCACTGGCCCTTGTCTGCGATGGTTCTAGGCGTGGAGAGATGAGGGAGGGCAGCCGTGTGGACGGGAAGTCCCGCTGAATGTGCTGTCCTCAGGTCTCCCGGCGGACACTCTGCAAGGCCACAGGGACCGGTTCCATGAGCAGTTTCACAGGTAGCAGCCTGGCAGGGCGAGCAGGGCTGGGAGAGCCCAGAGACCCCATGCTGACTCGCTCCGTCCTTCCCCGCCCGCAGCCTCAGGAACTTCTTCCGCAGAGCCTCGGACATGCTCTATTTCAAGCGGCTCATCCAGGTCCCCCAGCTACCCGAGGTAGCCACGCCACTGCCCTGAGCTGCTCCCAGGCTCGTTGCCCCTGTCCTGGGGTCTTTCGAGGACGCTGGGCCCCACATGGGCTCTGGGGACAGCAGCGGGAGGGCTTCCCAGGGAGTGGCCAAGCAGCTCACAGCGCCACCCCTGCAGGGACCCCCCAACTTCCTGCGGGCCTCGGCCCTGGCTGAGCACATCAAGCCAGTGGTGGTGATCCCTGAGGACACCCCCGAGGAAGAGGAGCCCGAGAACCTCATCGAGATCAGCACCGGGCCCCCAGCCGGGGAGCCAGCGGTGAGGCCCCCTCGTCCCGGGTCCCACCCTCGGGCCTACAGCTGCAGCAGGGGTAGCTGCCTCCCTCAGCCCCGCCCAGCCTGGAGGGCACTGGCAATGCGGTGCGACCACGTGCTTTGCTGTGGCAGGTGGTGGCTGACCTCTTCGACCAGACGTTTGGACCCCCCAATGGGTCCGTGAAGGACGACAGGTGAGGGTGGGTGCCGCTGGGGTCAGGGTCAGGAGGCCGCGAGCGGGTTTGCCCAGCTGTGGTCCAGACGCCTGCCTGCAGGGGCCGGGGTGGGGACCTTGAGCAGAGCACAAGGTTCTGGAGCCAGCTGGGCCAGGCCCAGTTGGTCTATCTGCTTGGTGACCTGAACCTGTGACTTCTCTCCCCAGAGACCTCCAGATCGAGAGCTTGAAGAGAGAGGTGGAGACGCTTCGCGCTGAGCTGGAGAAGATCAAGGTGGAGGTGAGGGGGGAGGCAGGGCGGCCATGCCCACACAGCGGGCAGGCCCTCCCCAAGGGTGTCTGTTCCCACGTGGTGCGTGTCCCTGCCACCGCGAGGGCGGTCCTGGCGGGCAGGCCCACGCCCTGTGCTCCCCGCAGGCCCAGCGGTACGTGGCGCAGCTGAAGGGCCAGGTGAACGGGCTGGAGGCCGAGCTGGAGCAGCAGCGGAAGCAGAAGCAGAAGGCGCTGGTGGACAACGAGCAGCTGCGCCACGAGCTGGCCCAGCTGCAGGCCGCGCGGCTGGAGGGCGAGCGCCACCAGGGCCTGCGCGAGGAGGCCGAGAGTGCGTGGGCGGCGGGGAGGGCGGCCCCGCGGAGGGCGGCCCCGGCCTCACACTGCTGGGCCCGCAGGAAGGGCCAGCGCCACCGAGGCGCGCTACAGCAGGCTGAAGGAGAAGCACGCGGAGCTGGTCAGCACGCACGCCGAGCTGCTCCGGAAGGTGGGCGCCGGCAGGAGGGGGCGGTCCTGGCGTCCTGGCTGGCTGGGGTGACTGAGCATGAGCTAGCCCTGCCCCTGCCCCTGCCCCTGTCCCCGCGCAGAACGCTGACACAGCCAAGCAGCTGACGGTGACGCAGCAGAGCCAGGAGGAGGTGGCGCGGGTGAAGGAGCAGCTGGCCTTCCAGGTGGAGCAGGTGAAGCGGGAGTCGGAGATGAAGGTACGGCAGGAGGGCACACGGCCCCGCCCACCCCGGCTCTGCCCCTGTGACCCCGCACCACCGCAGCCCCTGCCCCAGTGACATGCTGTCCTGTCCCAGCTGGAGGAGCAGAGTGACCAGCTGGAGAAACTCAGGAGGGAGCTGGAGACCAAGGACGGGGAGCTAGCCCGCGTGCAGGCGACCCTGAGTCACACAGAGCAGGTGCAGGGGGGTGGGGAGCGGGGGCAGAAGTCGGGCCCCCTGTCCTGTGAACCTGGTCCCACTACATGCACTGAGTTGGGGGGGTCCTTGGTGGTTCCTCGTGTGGCTGACCCAGACTCAGACCCAGACCAGGGACACAGAGGAAATAGGACCTGGCCTTCAAGAAGCACCTGGGCTACAGGGAGGGGCACTCGGCAACCCACAGGGCCCATCTGGAGATGTGGGGGTGAGGCGCCCCAGAAAGCCTGCTCATGTGCGGTATTTGCAGAGCGGGTCGGAGCTGAGCTCACGGCTGGACGCACTGAACGCAGAGAAGGAGGCGCTGAGTGGGGCGGTGCGGCAGCGCGAGGCCGACCTGCTGGCGGCCCAGAGCCTGGTGCGCGAGAAGGAGGCGGCGCTGAGCCAGGAGCAGCAGCGTGGCTCCCGGGAGAGGAGCGAGCTGCAGGGGCGGCTGGCCGAGAAGGTAAGGTCCCTGGCTCGCTGCCACCAGGTCCACGGGCCAGGCAGTGGCCCCCGTGCTGCCCACACACTTTGACCACTCCCTAAGGCACCCCTGGGCCAAGGACTGGTGGACCCCGCCCTGCCAGCCCCTGGCCACACCACCCTGTTCCCGTCTCCATGGCACTTCCCATCCAGGATGCTTCGCACACAGGCTCTTACCGCAGGCGGTCCTCCAGGTTTTCGAGGTGCATCCGCGTTGCAGCGTGGGCCAGAACTTTATCTTTTAAGTTTATTATTTGTTTCTTTCATGAGATTGAAGGACAGCACCTCCTACAGGGCCTGGCCACCAAGGTCCACCCAGCTTCAGCCAGCCCCAGGTGGTGGTCAGGCCTGTGCCGAGTTCTCAGGGAGGCCTCTGGCTGTGAGCCTGGAACCTTCCAGCATGGGTCAGCCTCGTGGAGCATGGTGGGCCCCCATCCGGCCCCTGGGGAACTTAGTTCTTTTGTTTTAGAGGTTTTTTTATGCTACATGGTGTGTGTTCACTGGAGAGGCAGAGACAGTGAGAGGGGAAACGAGAAATCACCCCCCAGGGGGCCGACCACACTGTAGTCCCTTCTCCATTCGCTTTCTGGGATCTTCGGCATGCACGTGGTGCCTGGTGTGATTTTCAAGCCACCGGGTCCAGGACTCAAACCGCAGTCAGTGAGGTGTGCGTCTAGCGGCATACCCACCGTGCCACCTGCTGGCACCTCGTTTTGATAGCTGAGCAGTGCTCCTTCGTGTGGATGGACCACATTCTTTTTGTCCAGTTGTCAGCTGTTCAACCTCTGGGTTGTTAAAGATGCCTAGGAGTGGGGTTATTGATTAGGGTGACTCCAAGGGGGTCTTTAGGAAGTTCATGAATAAAGCACATTATGGGGCCAGCAGGTGATCTGATGGTTAAGGGTGCTGGACTCCCACCTGGCAGACCACAGTTCAAGTCTCAGACCTGCTGGGTTGGTTTCTCACTTTCCCTCCCTCTCTCTATCCCTCTCTGGTCAAATAAAAATAAATGAATAAATAAAGTTAAATAAAATAATTCTTTTTTAAAAAGCACATAATGAAGAACTCTGCATGGATTTAAAAACCTTTTCTCACCAAGATAAACTCCTAGTTTAGCTCCATTTTTCCATGTACTTTTTAAGTTTTCTGCCATAGGGTGTGTGCACTTTCCAAGACAGAATGCGAGGGAAAGTGAGAAGTCACCTCCCCCGGGGCTGGCCACACTGCAGTCTCTTCTCCATTCTCCTGGGATCTGGGCATGCATGCACGTGCACCCAGTGCAGTTTTCAAGCTGCCAGGTGCGAGGCTTGAGCTGCAGTCGGCCATGTGGGAGTCCAGCACCTTAACCACCACACCACCTGCGGGCCCCTCCATGAACTTTTTAAAGCCCCCTTGTGTGTGCAGCTTTGAGAACTGCCAAACGTTCCCACCTCCGCTGCGCGTGTTCCCACCAGCAGTGTGAGGGCTCCAGCACCCAGGTGCTCCCCAGCTCTGTTTCAGCTGGCCGGGTGGGTGTGGCTTCTCGTCCAGCTCTGGTTTGCATTTCTCTCCAGGCTAATGAAGAGCATCTTTTGCACGCGCTCCTTGCCCACCTGCGGACTTTTGGAGAGATGTCCGCTTAGACCCATTGCCCACTTTAACTGGGTTGATTGCTTTTTCCCTCTGGAGCTGTTCACCTCCGCCCCAACTGGCTGCCCTTGGGTTGACCCTGGGCTGGGTTCAACCAGGGTCTTGGGGAAGGGTCTCTTAGTGGCCATGCCCTTCCCCCCAGGAGTCTCAGGAGCAGGGGCTGCGGCAGAGGCTGTTGGACGAGCAGTTTGCCGTGCTGCGGGGCGCCGCTGCCGAGGCTGAGGGCATCCTGCACGACGCCGTGAGCAAGCTGGACGACCCCCTGCACCTGCGCTGCACCAGCTCCCCAGGTGCGGGCCCCTGCCCTCCAGGGAGGGCCGGGCTCACTCCCCCGGCCCGGCCCTGCCCCTCAAGCCTGAGAAGAGGGTGGCATGGCCTTAGGTTCCCTTGTCTTGCAGACTACCTGGTGAGCAGGGCCCAGGCGGCCTTGGGTACCGTGAGCACCGTGGAGCAGGGCCACGCCCAGTACCTGGCCTCCCTCACAGGTGAGTGCAGTGGGCAGGGTGGGGTGAGGCACCCTTAAGACCGTGAACTGCAGCACCAGCAGTTGGCGTAATGGCTATGTCGCTGGACTCCCACGTAGCCAACCGCGGTTTGAGTCTGGACCTAGTGGCTTGAAGTCACGCCAGGCGTGTGTGTATGTGTGTGCCCAAGATCCCGAGAGGAGAATGGAGAAGGGACTGCGGCGTGGCCATCCCCCCCGGTGGTGATTTCTCACTTTCTGTCTCTCTGTCTCTGTCTTCCTGGAGAGCGCACGTGCCCTATAGCAAAAGCCTCCCCCAAAAAAGGCAAGGCCCGGGCCGCTCTGCTCCTGCTCCCACCCAGCACACTGGCCCTGCCTGTGCTGCGGTCACACACCCGGTGGGGGCCGCCTGCTCCCTCTCTTCCTCCGTAACTGGGGGTGCTGGGCTCGCCTTGGCTTGGAGGGAGGAGGGAAGGGATGGCCTGGTGTTAGGGTCTTCCTGCTGTCCCTAATGCCACAGTCTCACCCCGCCCGTCCACGCAGACGCCTCTGCCCTGGTGGCAGCCCTGACCCGGTTCTCCCACCTGGCTGCGGACACAATCATCAATGGCGGAGCCACCTCGCACCTGGCGCCGACCGACCCCGCTGACCGTGAGTGGTGCCTGGGCACTGGGTCTGGCCTCCGTCGGGGGG